AAGGACAGGAAGGCCTGGCGCAATATGGTTCATGGGGTTACGAAGAGTCGGACACGACTTAACGACTAAAAAACAACAAGTTTGCCTTGGACTTTGAAGAAGCAGGATAGATAAAGAACTGATGCTTCTGAATGTTGGTGTTGGAGAAGACTTCTGACAAAACAAATGATGGATCATTGAACAAATCAATTCAGAGTTCTCATTTGAGGCACACATGACCAAGCTCCAATTATCCTATTTTGGGCACAATAAGTTTAGAAGCTGTTGCCCCGTTCTTTCATCATTTCTGCCAACTTTCTCCTTAAAGGTGATGGGGCTGTATTTTAAAATGGCATTGTAATAAAACCCTTGAAAGTTTCCGAAATGAACTTGGCAGGGTTAAGTCTTTGGCAGGGTCTACCATCCTTGCTACTTTTATCTTCATCTGCCAAAAATGAAGCAGCTTCAGACATGTTGAAGTTTTCCCATTACAGCCTATGGAGCGATCTTTTTTTTCCACACTGAATCTTGAAGGTGAGTAAACTGAATCAGATTGATACTGAATCCCAAATCACAAACTTGAATGAAGCCACATTCTTGAAACACAAACTTCCAACCTGAATCAGACAAGGGTTGATTCACACAGGCCTCTCCTGCTCAATTTGAGGATATATTTACTATGAAGGTTAAAAAATACTGAAAGACAGCATATACATTTCTTAAATAAATACACTGAAACAGTAATATTCTCAAAAGCGCCAAAGACTTTTTTAAAAGACTGGAAGCCTTAAATTCTTTTTGCTGAAAGAAGGAAAGACTGAACTAATGACTTATGGATTTGGGGTTTAGAAAGGGTTAAAGAGGGAGGGGAAAAATAAGATGGCAATTACTCAAGAAAGAAGGGCAGAAGTCTGTCTGTCTTTCTTTCTTTCTTTCTTTCTTTCTTTCTTTCTTTCTTTCTTTCTTTCTCTTTCTTCATTTCATTTCATTTCTTTTTTCTTATTTCCTATCTTTTTTCTTTTTCTTTCTTTTCATTTTTTCATATTTTTATTGTACTGTAAAATTCTAATAAAAACATTAACAAAGAAAAAAAAGAAACAGTAATATTCTCAGCAATTTATCAACATCATTTGGAAATGGTGCAGAATGACCAGGCAATCGAGCCTTCATATCAAGTACAATATATAGGCACTATTTGCCATCCATCTTACATTAGTTTAGGGGAGAGATCAGGAAAGTAAAGTCTGGGAAACCTGTATCGTACAAGTTGCTTCCAGTTCAGCTATGACCTTTCTCTTCTCTCAAAACCAGCAAGTGTTCTGTTTAAGTGCCATTTAAACTTAATGAATCAAGAACTCCTGGAGCGAGGCAGGTCAGCAAGAATGAAGGCATATATTTATGGCTAATGAATATTTGAAGATAGCACTGCATTGCTTCTTAACCTTACTATACTCCAACTTTTCTCTGATTTGGTCTCTAGCCCCCTCTTCAGCTTTGTCAACTTCTTGTGGTCAATTCTGTCAACATCCTTCTTATAAAGTGACTCTTAAACTGGATATAATCCTGTAGTGGACTGACCAATGCAGAATAGAGGTAGATGGGTATTTTGCAGTGGGGAGAGCAAGAGACAGGGTGATATGAGACACATATTTCTACTATGGCAGTAAGTAAA